CTCCGCTGCAATGAGCGTTCTCATCATACTACCTGGGGTACGGGGCTTCATAGATTTCTCTGGATATGGTGACACCACATGTGCGTCGAACAAATGTTGGTAAAGCTCCTTATATGTCATAGGGTCGAAGTGTTCTCATTTTTTGATGAATCCTGTGAAGACAGTTAATGTGAATGTAAAGAAATGAACAAAATGCAAAATGTTTAAATGCATGAAGCATGAAATGTCCGAGGCATTGATCTGAAAAATGTGCCTATTATTCTGAATAATCCTTATTGGGGACAAAAATGTTACGTCTGAAGAGACAAAAAACTTTTTGATAGTATAGATCCCGCACAGCCTCTGGAAAGTTGATTCGTCTTCCGCTTTTTCACCGGTTGAATATCTTGTCGAACCATTCCAGTTCCTTTGGCTAAACTTGTGCGGGTAACGAGTTGCTTGTTCCAAAAAAGGTCTCGAATGACTGCATCTCCGGCCTTCACTCTATGCCGAGCTCGTTCCAAACGAAAGTGCCATTGGAACCCTCCATCCGAAGTTTGTCGACTTGTTTTTGGAATTCATAAATGATGGTCTCCGGCTTAGCTAGGGTTTCACCATCTTGTTCTCGTAATTTTTGAAAGGACTCTCCAGGTCAGTAACCATTTCCTCATCTTGCCCCTGCAACCTTTGCCTCTAAGTATTCTTTGATACCGATTGGACTTCTGAGCTTTTTATCTCTTTGTATTATAACCCCTTTGTCCATTAATGCAGATTATTCATGTTTTAACAAACACATTTTTGGTGGATCAACACCTCGTTTTAATGATGTGAATGATAAAAAAATGCAAAAGAACACAAAAATAAAAGGAGAAAAAAAGTTAGTGAGATAAGGATAATAATAAAAAAAGATGAAAATGAAAAGTCCTACCCCACATGATATCTACCCGAACATGCTTAGTATTCCTACCCAGACATGATCTCTATCCCGCATGCTAATTTCAAACAAATCCTAACCGCATATTTGTCTAGTTCGCATGCTTCGAACAGAGAGTAAAGTAGGAAATAAAGTAGCCTAGGGTTTGGAATGAGATTTTGGGGTGGGCTCTAATTCTCTATAATCTCCCGGTTTAGGTTCTAAAAAGGTACTCGAGTTCTCCTTGCTGGTGTCCCCTTGGGCTTGCCAGACCCTTAGTCCTAAGCCCATTACAAGCTTATGTGGACTAAGTTAAACTCGAGAAGGAAACATTCCCTTATGCCCGCACGGTGAATAAATTCACACGAAGACATAAGATATATGAATCCCGAAGGCTACTTGCTAGGCATATGCGGTGAATAAATTCACACGAATGCGTCGCTTTCACCCCCACTTAAAAGGGTTTGGAGCTCGGGTATAGAGCCAAAGATGAAAATTTTAAAAAATCTGAAATCATTGAACAAACGTTAGTACAACTAATTACTTGGAAAAATAATCAAAGGTAAATAATTGGAATCGAATAAATAAATTAAAATTTAAATTTACAATCTTCACATAAAAAGACAACCGAAAATTAATTCTGGCCTGACTCACTTACCTTTCCCAGTGGAGTCGCCAAGCTGTCGGAACCGTCTTTCGGTTGGGCCCCGGAATTGGGCTTCGACTTGGATTAAACGAATTGGAGTCGCCACCGACCATTTTAAAACGAATTTAGGTGGGTCGGACACCATCTTACCTGATCTGCGTTGTACCAGTGATATGTCGGGTTCGGGAGTCGGTTACGGTCAAGGAAGGATTAGCACCCTTGAACTGCCCTTTCGGTACCAATTAATTTATCGGTTGTCTTAATTGTGAAAAATTAAAAATTTAAATTTAAATTTAAAAATTCGATTTAAATCATTTACCTTTGATTAGTTGAAATTATTCCTAAAAAAGAAAGAAGAATGTTAGATTAAAAAAAATACTAAATTAACTAAAGAGGAAAAATATAAATTAGAGAAAATGTTAAAATATGTGTAAATTAAAAACGACAGGCTCCCAGGCAAGGTAAAAACTATTGTGCTTTTTTGCCATTATGACATAAGCTTTGGCAAGTGTCATTTTCAAATCAAGGTTAACCGACAGATGGTTCTTAACTTCCCTATGCTCTTGACACAACGCACACCAATGCATGCAACAATGAACCATGCAAGGATTGCACGGCGAGTTCTTGAGATGATATTTCTTCTGCAGTGATTGTCGGAACAAATTGTTGTAGATGTCGCACAACCACCAAGCGAAAACTAGGGTCTCATCGATGAGAAACTATATTTTAGGGTCGATGTCGTGGAAGAACAAAGCTGATGCCGCGACCAGCATCCCACCCTCTACGCATATAGCGTGACAGAGGCATGCGTCGTTCTTTGGGATATCATCTCTCAAGGTTTTGATGTTTTTCTTGTGCTCCGGTCGGCCTTCGTTGTTGATTTGTGGCCGAAGCTATAAGTTCTTTGGTTTCACTCATCCTTGTCGTGTATTGGACATCGAAGATGTCGACCTCGGGAAGCAACACCTCGTAATAAGTGGCGTAATACTGGTTTTCTTCAATGAACACCGTGCGGCCATTGTGGTTCAGCGATTTCCAGAGAAGGGTTTTCGGAGTTAGCCCGAAAACAAGGAAGTTACAAGGCGAGGAGCATTTTCGGAGCACGTCAGAGATCGGCTTCATCTCGTAATATGGCATGTGGTAACTGTCGTTGGATTTGGGAGCATAATGGAGGATGGTGTTTTAGGATCCAACTTCATTGTTATCGTGAAGGATTTGAGGTAGTAAGGCACGGTTGAGGATGGTGTTTGGGAGCCACGACCGAAGGTCATTGGTCGGTAGATGGTGTTAAGAGCGGGCTATTGAGCAATGGTTTAGAAGTCTATGGATGTTATTGGCTCATGGAGATATTAATTTGGGTTTACGGGAGAGTTTTCAGATAGTCAAGGGGCATGTCTACCGTGGTGAACTCCGAGGAGCGATGTTGGAGCTATGGACGAGCGACCATGGCCTCCGATTCTATCTTCATTTATTTCCCTCTGTTTTAACCCTTTTTTCCCCTCCCCTCTATTTGGCGCATAGAGCTGTATATAAAGTAGTTCAATGGTTCCTTCTGTTTCGGTGGACAACACGTCCATTAACGGCTCGGGAATCACGGAACCACGAAGGCCGGTAAGTGAGCAAAAGAAGGGGAAGTAGGGACAACGTGCAGCCACCTGCGCACATGAAAAAAAAAATAGGCCTGCAAAATCATTAATATAATTAATAAAAATATTAACAATAATAATAATAATAATAATAAATAATTATACGATAAAATATTTTTAGACCCGGACAAAAACGGGTGTCTACAATCTCCTTACCGCTCATATTAAATGTTCTATTATCAGTGAATCAAATGGAGCTCGGAAGTTTAAGTTTGAGAGGAAAACTTCGTATGCTTTTACATAGGTTTACCTAAAAAATAAATAACCTTAACCGTGAAATGTTCTAAACAAATTGAATTAAAAAATTGTTGAAAACTTTAAAGTTAGACAATGTTAAATGAAAAAACAATTTTTTTTGCCTTGTATTTTTTTTTATAATTTGAACGATTATATAAAATAATATGTGTTTAGTTTTTTAAATCAATTATTGATGTGCATACATCTCACAAACACAATTATTCAAAAAAAAATTAAATATTATCTTTTAGGGTTAATTACATGAAAAATCACTTACGTTTATGTTTTGTCCACTTTTGATCACTGATTTCAAAAAAACATAAGACATGGTCACTTTCGTTTTTATTTAATTAAGATATGGTCACCCCGAGTTAACTGTCGTTAACAACAGTTAAATATTTTGATATAATCACACATTTGGTCTTTGTTATTTACATATTCTCTCAATTTAGTCTTATTTTTAATATATTAAAATAAATTTAATCCTCCAATTGAATGATGCTACATGTCATGCCACGTAGGGGTGAGCGTTCGATCAAGTCGAGTTAAATTTTTGAGTTTCTATTTAAATTTATTATAAATATTTATAATATTATGATAATATTTTATTCCAATTTAAATTATCTTTTATAACCATATACAATACATGTATATTTCTTCATTTTTTTTCATATGTGATTTACATTTATGATACAGAGTTGAAGGACTTAACCCAAACTTGAAAATCAATCCACTAATTACTAAAATTTTTGAGTTATTTGAGTTGTATTTTACAACTCGGTTTGAACTTGAAATTTTTTCAAGTCGAGTCGAGTCGAGTTTATGAAATTATAACTCGAAGTTAATTTGAGTCAAGTTTTCTAGAGTCGAGTCGAAAAAATCTATTCTTCGAGTCGAGTCAAATTTTGCTCACCCCTAATGCATCGTTTCACCATTCAGTTGAAGAATTAAATTTATTTTAATTTAATATATTTATTTTCACCAATCAAAAAGTGACATGTGTCACCCTTTGGTTGAAATAAAACAAATGAAAGCAAAGTAAGAGAATATTTTATTTAAAAGTATTTTATTTTTATTTAAAAATATATATTTTGTGTTAAAATTCATTTAAAATTATAACTAAATTGAGATAATATATAAATAATGGGGACCAAATATGTGATTATACGAACTATCACGTCACATATCTTGTTAATTGTAAACAATAGTTAACATGTGATGACTACATCTTAATTAAATAAAAGCGAAAGTGACTATATCTTATATATTTTTTAAATCAGTGACCAAAAGTTAACAAAACATAAACATAAATGATTTTCCATGTAGATAACCCTATCTTTTATTTTCAAATCCACAAAATAAACTTAATTTAGTCTTATATGAATCAATTCAGATGGGATGAGCAGACGGAAATGTTATGGACAACAACAAAAACCATTCCCCAATAAACTATTTGATAGGATAGTACAGGGATATAGGCTGTAGACACCCATTCTTGTTTATTATGTTTATTAATATTATTAATATTATTATTATTATTAATCTATTTATTAAATTATTATTAATATTAATATTAATATTAATATTAATATTATGTTTATTAATTATTATTATTAATACAAGAATATATATTTTGCAGGCCTAATCCCACCAGTGACCCGTTATAAACCCAGCACCCAGCCCAACATCAAGTGACTTAGTCTACCCGAGGCCCAACAAATGACCAAAACCCAATGCTGGAGCCCAAAAACATCAACCCAAGGCAGCACATCAGATTACCAGCTAACCCGTGACCCGATTCAAGCCCAGGATCCGACCCGAACTGGCCTAGTGACCCAGGACCCGACCCGATTCACTCTAGCATTTTTAAAACCCTATATTAGCTTCTATCACCGCTGTCCTTTGTTTCTGTCAACTCCGACCGCCTCTGACGTTGCCGCTATCATCTACAGTGACTGAAGGTCAGAGCAGTCCATCAATAAACCCATTAAACAATGGAAAACAAATCAACAACAAATCCAAGGCTATCTATCAGAAATCCATCAAACCATCAACAAAGGACATAATCTAAGATAAAAAACCCGAAGGGATTCATTCGGAGAGGGGAGAAAAATGAGAGAACCAAAAATCAAAACAAAAAAATCGAAAGAAAAAAGAGAGAGAAATCCTTACCTATTCGAACCCAATCCCGGAAAAAACAAGAAAACCCATTCGAACCATTAGAAATAAATAAGAAAAAAGAGAGAGAGGGTTCTTCCGCAGTTCGAAGCATCGGGAAGCCCGAGGGTCGACGTTCCTCTAAAATTTCGAAAGGTATAAAGTTAGATCTAGGGCTCTAGGGGTGTTTCTAGGCTAAACCAGTTAGAGAGGTGAGTTGAGGGTGAGAAGATGATCCAGTTGGGGTGGTCTGAGTTCTCCGGCCGCCGTGAGCCGCAGCGAGCTCCACCGACGGTGTCGTTTTTCTCTCCTCTGATGAGAGAGTTGAGAGAGTTTTCTCTCTCTCTGTTTCTGAAGAAGAAAAGAAATGAAGGATATGAGAAATTGAAAGTTATTTTGGGGATTAAATACGCAACACAAAATGGTGTCGTTTTAGCCCCCTTTTTTCTTGTTTTCAGGTTTGGGGAAATAACGGGGTTAGTCCTTCTGATTTGTAATTCACCGAGCTTTTTTAATTCTTTTAGGGTAAATAGCACTTTAGACCCCTAGTCTTTTGTATCATTTTATTTTGGGCCATTAATGAACTTTGAGGCATCTTAATTTGAGCTTTTATCTTTCTATGTTTACTTTTTAGCCACTATCTCATGTATTATATCATTTTCTGTTTATATTTGAATATGGTCATTCTATTTTTAATTGTTTCATTTTAGTCACTGATTGGTAGTTGGTTTAGTTATTGTTTAGTCCTTTATGTTTCTATTTATTTCATTTTAGTCCTAAATGTTATTAATGGATTATTTACATTTATGATGCCTGTATATTTAATATTCATGATTTGAGCTCTGATTTATTTGTAATTACTATTTTAGTCCTTTTAGATTTTGTTTTTACTGTTTAGTCATTTAAATGTCTATTTTTGTTATTTTAGTCCTTTAAATGTCTTTTTTTTCTATTTTAGTACTTAAAGTTTCTATTTTTTTGCTGTTTAGACCTTTAAGTTTTTGTTTTTTCCATTTAGTCTCTTAAGTTTCTGTTTTTTCTATTTTAGACTTTATTTTATCAATTTATAATTTCATGTATGTATGTATGTATATAAATTATGTAATTGTTATAACCATTCTTTGTACGAGTTTTTATTTATTTCTTTTTCGTTTTATTAGGTGCACAATTTGATAATTATTAACACCCTTTGTTATTAATCATCATTGTTTTATAAAATGTAAATGAAAAATTTTATTGTGAGGGAAATATACGAAGACATCTCCCGACTACAAGGGAAGGTGTTTTTTTGAGGATTTTTCACATAAATATTGTTTTATATTCGATAATTTTATTTATTTCACATTTATTTATTTTGAGTATTTTTCATCGTTTTTTCATTTTTATTTTTTTCATTTTATTGTATTTTATTTTATCTTGGTGAAATCTGCGAAATAACGTTTTTGTGAGGGGAATCTATAGAAAAGTCTCCTAACTACAAAGGAAGCGCGTTCCCGAAGATTGTTCATAATTTTTAAAAAAATTCGAATGAATAAAATGATCATAATTTAAATATATTTTCGAGTTTGTAATTCCTAATATTTAAATAATATATAGTCGTTTAGGTACCAAAGTTTGGGCGTTGTGGGGGTGTTAATCATTCCCTACACGTAACCGACTCTCAAACTCTTAAAAATGAATCTTTGGTAAAACGCATATCATTTTTTAACGTTTAAGGTTTCCAACCCTACCTAATTTAATGGTTGGTGGCGACTCCAAAATCAAATTGTTTTCAAATCATATTTCATCGTTTTTCCCGAAAACTAAATATTTTAAGTCTAACGGGTCCCCTGGTAGACGTTATGACATAGGCCAGATTCAAATCAATTTTCTACTTTAATATACACAAAATTGCATTTTATTGATGCATGATTTAACAATCTAGTACTCATAGTATAGATATATGTATTATATTCACACAAGGGTAGATGGTAATAGGAACTAGGGGCAAAAACAGTTCAAACGATAGTATTTATACAGCCTATGAAATATAAATTTAAAAACAATAATCATTTGAAAATAAAATTGATAATTAAATTATTTTTTAATATAAAAATAAATATTTTGTATTTAAACTATTGAAAATAGCTTTTAAATTTATATAAAAAGGTTGATTGTTTTTCATTTATTTGAAAAATTATTCTTTTAGAAATATCACGAAAAGCTAAATTCAATTATTAAATCGCTTTCCAATCATTCCAATGTTTTTTTATTTCCTTAAATAGTTAAATAGCAAGAAATGAGATGGTATATAAATAAAATCAAAAATTTTTGCTTGAAGAGGTAATTAAAATTTATTTATTGATCATTTTCATTTATATATATAAATGTTGTCAATCTAGGGGAGTTTTTGGTGAGGATGTCCTTCCCTAGCTCTTCGTATGAGTTTTAGGTTATTAGTGATTGCCAATATAATATTAACATACTTACTGGATTTGCTTCATTTTCTTCCTTTTGTTTCTTACGAATATAAATGTCGTAAAAAAAAACTTATAAATTTTAAATATGGCACAGATAGCTCAGCCTGCATCACATCAATCCTACTCAATTTTTCTTGACTGCTTGCAACCTAAAACACACACCACTATCTTCCTCAACAGATCAATACATATTGTAATAAAAAAACATCCTATTTAATAAGACTGTCTCGGAATCATTTCTATTATTAGAGAAAATTTGACACACCACAAATTTAATATATGTAAATGTGCAGAAAAGTGGGGGCAGCATCATCTTTGTACCTAAGCTTGGTCCTTTGAGTCGCCTGGGGAATTATTTTGTTTTGGTTTATAGGGTCATATAGGAAACGCACATGATAATAAAAAAAGCAAAGTTGAACAACAAAATCTTATCGTGTACTACCCCCCTTGACAACTTGTCGAGAAACAACACATGGAGCCAATAAATGCGATCTCATAAATAACTCTTTTATCAACCTGATAAAGACCGCCTACCGGTTTCAAATAACCTAAATTAACGATGTCTGTAAAAAGATATGTCGTCAGCCATGGCAGGCAGCAACACTCATCTCTCCGATCCCTTTAGACCATCGCTATTCGGATGTGACCGCTGGAAGTAATCCACTGACTAGAAACAAAACACCATCACCTGCCTTCATTTGTTCGGATAACAAACACACGAGGATGCCCTCCATCTGAATTGGATACTTTATTTTAAGTTCTTAGGACCACTTACAGAGCGTTGAAATTGTGTTGCTTTTGGTCTTTAGTGAACTGTTACAGCAGGAGCTTCATATCTTGCTAATTCTGGATTATGTCACCAATTATTTGTTTATGGAATGATATCATTGGTTGAACAACCCTAGCCAAACAACCTTCTCGTAACGGGGTTTGTTTCAGTGTTACCTAATTCGCACTTTGTTTTAGTTCACGGAATGCCTATGAAATTGTAATTTGTTAATTTTACTGTTTGCGGTGGGATCAAGATTTATGACGATATTTTATTTGATTTGTTGATATTCTTTTCAATAATTTATTCATATATTCATTTTTATTTTAAAGAAACTATCATTTTTTTAATGTTCAAAAGAAAATTTGAATACTTCGTTACTGGATTAAGATATAATTAAAGCATCAATTGCTGCTAATAGATTAGAAATACTTATTCTTCTTCCATTACTTGACAAAAACATAATCCATCAACAAACAAGAATGAAAAAGAAAAAAAAAAGAGAATGAGAAGCTACTATGTTAGAATGTTTAAAGGACGACAATTTAATTTAAGATTAAGATTAAAAAATGGAAGAGAACGAGCACGACCTAAAATGTTAGTTTTTTCTTAATATTTTTCGGTTTGCATACATTCTTCGTAATTTTTTTTGTATCCGAAAATATTACATTTTTCACAATATTTTCAGTTCAACTGAAAAGGTTAAAGTTAACATTTTATGTTACACTCAACCGAAAATATTGTGCTTTTTATCATATTTTCGGTTGCACCTATTCACCATCATTTTTTAGCCTTAAATTAAGTTGTTGTACGGCATAACTTCCCCTAGTATATTCAATACGTTATTTATTGCTCTTTTCTTCCCAATGCTATTATATTTGATCTTTCAAGAAACGAATCTTACTTATTAATTGCTCTATTCTTCCCAATGCTAGTATATTTTACCTTAAATTAGAGTATGTTTGTTTCATAGAAAACAAATTCCATAAAATGAATTTCATTTCCTGTAAAATATTTTTTTTGAAAATCATTTTATGGTGTTTGGATGATGTTGTGTAATCTATTTTTCACTAGTTGGTAAATTTTTCAAAAATTCTTTATTATAAACATTAAATACAATAAATAACATTATTTATTAAATAATAATAATATTTTTTAAAAATAAAATAATTTATTTAATATTATTTATATCAATATTATTATGAAAATATTATATCTACTATTTTATAAATAAAACATTAATATTATTATATTTTATTAAGATAAAAGTATTATAAATTATGTTAATTATTTATTAAAACAAGAATAATATATTATTAATTATATTATTATAAATTATGTTAATTATTTTTTAAAATAAAAATACTATTAAAATAGGAATATTATATTATATTTTAAGGAGTATATTTTAAATATTCAACAATTCAATAATATTATTTTTATGAAATTAATATAATTTAATAATTAATATTTTTATTAAAATGATACTAAAATAATATATTAATATTAAATAATAATGTTTTGAGTGTTTATGCTTTGAAGTGAAAAGTTTATAAACTGACTTACGAAAAATCATACCGTAAGCCATTTTCTAAAAATACAAAAGAAGTACAGTTGACAAGGAAAATAAATTATATTGACTATCTGTTTTTCGTCAACCAAACACTGAAAATGAAAGAAATTTCCCCCCTGAAAATCAATTACAGATAAATAAACCTACACTTATATTTATCTTATTCTCAATCCTAGTACATTGGTTGCAACTTAAATTTGTTCTATCCCCATGCTAGTATATTAATTGTGGTGTTAAAATTTAGATGTTTCTTTCTCCTCCCTTATTATTGGTTTTATTTGCTTTTGTTGTACGAATTTGATTGTTTCTATAAGTGTTCTTAAATAATTTGGAACACGAATAAATCTCTAATTGAAACGAAGGAATCCAAACGAAATTCTTGAAGGCCTAGGGGCGGATTAGATAACACTGATTTGTTTTACCAAAGAAGCTGAGAGATCGATTCTTGGAATGAATTATTCCTTTCTTCTGCAGTTAACTAAAGCATAGAATTAATGCAACCAAACCTTACTGTTTCCACTAACATTCCATTTCTTTAGACCCCATTAGTTGATCTGTACA